TGGGGGTCCATCCCCACAGGCCTGTTGGATCTCTTCTCAGGATCTGCACACAGCATGGCTCCCTGCAGGGATGAATGTGATATCAGTAACTCATCCTGTGGCCTTTCTGGGCCATCACCCCTTTGGGCAGTTCCTATTCCCAAAGGGATGCTCAGTGCCAAAATCAACAAGCCTGGGATGATGTTGGAACCCCAAAGCTGTGGGTGAAACACTGCCAGACCCCCATTTCTGGGGAAATGCATCTTCAAAAAGGAGGACAAAGATTTCTGTGGCATTTAGCTTGGAAAATCCCAACAACCTGCCCCTACATCAGCTGCAGACCTGAGGCTGCCAGGAGCTGGAGGCAGTGCAATTCATGTCCTCTGAGGACTGATGCAGAGGGAGGCTTGTGGTGTGGAGTCACCCGTGCGTTAGAATTGCTTCATTTTATTAACATTCAACAAAACCCTGAGACATTGTGTTCCTGCTCCCACCAGAGCAGTGAGGCATCCCAGCTCCAGAGCACAGATATCCCATTGTAGCCCTGGAAAAAACACCCAGAATGTCAGGAGGAGACTGTAGCATCCTAGGAAGCCCAGGAGAAATAGCGAATCCCAAAAGGCAAAGCCCTGAGGGGAAAAAAAAAAAACAAAAAAACCACTGTGCCTGTGAGAATATCAGCACTTCACTAGCAAAGTCCTGTGAGTCTCTGCCAGGGGCTTGTCCTTTCTCCTCATCTTTGCCACTCTGGCAGGTTTTGGGAGGGGACAGAGAAGCCCTCTTGATCCCCAACCCTTGCAGCACATGCAGCCCCATTCTTGCCTGCCCCATCAGGGCAGCTCTGTGGGCTGTCTCCCCATCACCATCCCAGTTTGGGAAAAGGGGATATTGGCCGTGCCTGTATCCTCAGCCAGAGCCCTCTTCCAGACCCAAAGGAGACAGGGGAAAGTGCAAAATCCCGAAATGTTTCCTGTAATGCCTCATTCAGCAGCAGCAGCATCCAAAACAAACACCAGGGATGTTCAAACAGGCCAAAATCTCCATCAGGGTTTCAGACAGCACCACAGGAGCATCACACCTCAGTGTGTGGAGCCACCCCATCCGCATGACAACCTGGTGGCTGCTGGGGATGGGAGTTAGTAATGGCCAGGTCTGATCTGCCAGGCCCCTGCCTCAGGGGCTACAGAGTTATTCCCCAGAAAACCTTTCTTTAAAGCATCCTCAGGAGGCACATCATCACAGAGGTGGGACCACACAGTCCCCTGCATGCACCAGAGGCTGCTCATCCATCCCAATAATGAAAATTGAAATCTCTCTTCAAACTGCTTCTCACTGAGCTGGCTATCACCAGACCCCTGTAGAGGTACTCCAAAACCTGTAAAAGAAAGAAATCCAACTGTAAAAAACTCTTGCTTTAGCACATCAAACCCTTGGTGACATTGTCTTGGTGAACACAGCACACATCATATTCCTGAGGACTGGTGGTTGGTGGCTGTGCTGGGGGGCAAGTAGCTCCCTGATCCTAATAGCTGCTCCATCTTTGTACCTCCTCCATCCCACCACCTGGGATGGTTCTTAACCAAAAACTCCTTGGGTTGGCCACTGGTTATGGGGAAACATCAGCCCCTCTGGCATCACCATCACATGCACTCAGCCTTCTGATGTTTCTTTTTGCAAAGGGATGATTGACTTTCACATGGCATCAGCTGAAAATCCTCATCCTAGGGTTATCCATCTCTTGAGCAGGAAATGCTCTCCTGGCACAAGGCAGCAGAAGGACATAAATCTGGCCAGTGATTTCCCAAATCAATAAGAAACATGCTCCCTAAGGATAAGTAAGTTGAAGAAAAAGGAGATTAATCACTGGCTGTTCACTGCTACAGTAGCAGCTTACTTCAGACTTGAGTCCACATTTCTATCCTGTGAACCTTCTTGACATCATCCTCTGGAAGTGCCTGGAGCCTGGCTCCTAATTTCAGCCAGGAGAGCCAGGGCCCCACTGCTGCCCTCCGTGCTGGCATGGCTCACCCCTTGCTTGTGATGGGGCCAGAACACCCCATGCTGCTGTCACACATATCCCCATGACCCATCTCCTCCCACTCTCCAAATCATGCTGGCACTGGTCACACTTTGATGAATCCCTCTCCATCCTCAGACAGGGGACGTGTGTCCTCTCTCTCACACACAACACAGTCTCTGCCCCCTTCCCCTCTCCCCACACACCAAAAGTCCCCATACTCAGGGCTCACCCCACTTTGCCAAGATTCAGCAGCATCTCCACAGCAGCCCATTCCCCATAATCCAGGTTTGATGCTGGTTTTTCTCAGGGACAGGCCAGCCCTGGTGCCCCTCTCTCCTCCTGCCTCTCTTTGGGCCCCGGGGTGCAATAGGGAGGGGTGTCATCCCCTCCAGCCCACCCCACAGGAGTCCATCCCTCCTTGTGCAGCTGTGCAGGATCCTCTTTGCTCTCCAGTGCCTGGGGAAGACCCCTGTGAGCCCAGCCCTATCTCTGCACTTCTCATTTTCCACACATGCCTTGAGTCTGCCACTTCTCGTCCTGGGTGATCATCCCACAGGGCTGTGCACTAATGAAGGTCCATCCCTTTAAGGGTTAAAAGCTTTCAGGCCCCGATCCCACCAAACAAAAGGGTTTCTCACTCTTAACCCCTTCCTGCACACCCCTGCTCCAGCTCTGAGCTTTTGCCACCCCAGTGGATCCGATCTGGTTTGAGTTAAATCTTTGTGTGCGCCGGGCTCTGACTTCGGCAGAGTAATTTGAATAACAAGACTAATTGGATTTATAAAGCACAGCCCCCCCCCCCCCCCCCCCCAAACCCGAGGTTCTGCACAGTGTGACAAAGAAAACACACTAATGAAAACCACGCTGGTGAGAGCCGAGGGCAGGGACAGCCTCCTGCGGCCGGCACTGGCTGAGACCTGACCGCCCTGTGGCAATCGTGGCGATGCTCTGATCCCCCGGGGCGAGGGGCAGCTGCAGCCGCTCCGCTACCGACCCCAGAGTGCCAGGGGGGCTGGTGGCAAGCGAGGTGGCCCTTCGTGCCCACACTGTGACATTTCTCTGCAGCCATCTGCGTGTCTCCTTCCCCATCCCGGATCCACCGGGAGAAGCCACGGGACAGGCTGCCCACAGCACCAGGGCAGGAGCCAGCACAACCAGAACGGGGATTCTGTGGGGGGTGCTGAGCTGCTGGTGGCCTCGGGCACCCCGACATCCCTGGAGAGATGTCAGCTCTCATCCTGTGGAGACCCAGGGCTCAGCTGCTGCTCCCCTTTCCCCTGCAGGAGCCTTGCTGATGGGGGTAGTGGTGCAGACCCCCCCATTCCTTGTGCCCTGGTGAGGCCGGCTGCAGCATTCCAGCTACACTTTGTGTGGGACAAGGACTGAACCCCGAGAGAAGGGGCCTCTCTCTGCTCCTTGCCTGCACCCACGGCTCTCTGGCACCCGGGGTCGGCTCTAATCCCGACTCCATCACTTCGCTCTGCCTGCACGCAGACAAATGCCCAAGCACAGCTTCACACTCAAAAAAGTCCAAGTTGTCTCCACCTGGCAGGCACAATGGAAAAAACACCGAGACCTTCTCCTTCCAGCTCCCGTTCACATGGAGCTGAAAAGCCAATCTCGTTTGAAGCGTCCCGTGCCCAGTAGCCCGGGCTGTGGAGGAGGAAACATCTCCCTGCTCCTGAGCAGGGACACTATGGCCCCCCAAAGAGCCGTGGTCCCCCAGCAGGGGCAGCTTCCCAGAGATTTGTGGAGCACCAGAGCCCAGAAAGTCCAGGATACTGAGCAGGAGGAAAGGACCAGATTGAAACAGACACCAGGGACAGGGGGAAGAGCAGAGAATGTTTCTCTGGTCACAGGGAAGGGATTTGGAGTGCAAACCCAACTTAATGCAGTTCAGTCCTGGATGCTCCTGCAAAGAAAGGGGTGTCTTTCCTCTGCCCTCATGCTAATAAGAGAATCTGCCCTGGACAGAGGGCCAGGAACAGTGCTCAGCTCCATCAGCAAAAAGCCAGCAGAACTCCAGAGTTGCCTGGTGCCAGCCCCAGCAGCAGCAGAGGCACAAATCCTGCCCTGCCAGCCAGGGAAGGGGAAGGCTGAGAGCAAGGGGTCTCCTCAGAGGCCCTGTGATCCACTGGGGTTAATCCCAGGATCACACCTTTCTCCTGTACCCTCCAGCTCCGGGAGCAGGTCAGAGGGAGGCCAGGCTGCACGTGGGTCAGCCAGTGAGATCCTGTCCCCACAAGGGACCCTGTGACACTGACTGTGCCCTGCAGAGGACATCCCCAGTGTGCTTGAAAAGCCCCATCTCCAGGGCCTGGAATACCATCACGATTTTCACAGAAGCAGAGGGAGCAGGTCAGCGCCCCAATCCGAGAGACCCATTTGGGTGCCCTCAAGAAGCACCACTGCCCCCTCCATCCCTTTGTGTCCCCCACATCCCTGTCACGGAGGGCAGTGGCCCTGCTCCTGCCAAGCAGGGACCTGGGAGGCACAGCTTCTGATTTAATCCTGGATGTGGGGGAAAAAAAAAAAAAAAAAAAAAAAAAAAAAAAAAAAGGTTCTTTTTGTGCTTATTCGTATCTTTTGGGATGAATCCCACACCGGGACCACCCCCCCCCGCCTGGCCCGTGTCCTTCCGCAGGAGGTCAGCAGGGCAGTACGGGGAGCGGAGGGGCAGCGGCAAGGGGAGGGCAGACAGCTTGCAGGGGGGCCGGGGGCGTTTGGGGGGGAGCGGGGGCATCAAGCCAAATGCCCCCCGCTTTCCCTTTCGGGTCTCCAGCTCCCGGAGCTGGTTGTCTTGTGTCATTTGTTACTGCCAGGGGAGAGGGGATACCACCACCCCCCCTTTAAATTCCTGCTATTGTGGAGTGCAGACCGGGTTGGACCTGGGTATTTAGATGACATCACCGAGCAGGTTGGGTTATAAAATGAATGAAGCAGAAAGCAGCCCAAGTTCACTAGCTCGGCACTTCGCAGGCGGCAGGAGGGACCTCGGGGCTCCGCTCTGAACTTTGACTCCCGCCGGTCCCGTCCTCTCCGCGGGGCTGCCCTCGGCTCCCCGCTGCCCCCCCGACCCCCCTGCCGCTCGGCCCCGCAGGATGCAGATCTCACCCTTGCTGGCTGGTGGACTTTTACTCGCGCTGCTCTCCGTCAGGCTGGAGGCGAAGCCGGCGTCTCAGCTCCCACAGAAGGTACGGCTGGAGCTTTCTCCGGCTCTTCCTCCTCTCCCGGTCCCGCTCAGAGTCCTAACGGCACAGGGGGAAACGCGGGGTGCCTGTGGGGTGCCGGAGTCAGGGCAAAGAGGGGTTCTTCTCTCCGCATGGGCTGTTTGGCTGCAAGGGGGGACTCCCTGCTTCTCCAGGCTGTCCCGAACGTCCGGGGACATCCGCCCCCAAGCAGAGGCTGGAGCGGGACGCGGTGTGCCCCGCAGCCCGCGGGATCGGGGCAGGGGAGGGTGGCAGTGTGCTCCCGGAGTCACCCTGGAGCCCCCTCTGTGCCGGGCACGGGGAGGGGGAGCAGAGCCGGAGCGGGGCAGGCAGCAGGTGCACGGTGGGACGGGGTGCGAGAGCAGAGCCCTCCGGGCACTCCTGGCCAAACAGGCCGGGCAGGGGCACAGAGGTGGGTGTCCCCTCCCCGCGTGTCCCATGGGGAAGGGGCGCCCCAAATGAGGGTGTCCCAGGGACCTGGTTGTTCCGAGATGCTGAGGACGAGGGATGTGCCCGAGGCCACCGACACTGGGTGGTGGTCTGGGCACAGAGATGGGGACACGACGAGTCTGACGAGTGCCCCAGGGCAGCAATGGCATAGGGGTCTGGTGTCCCTGTAAGGCACTGGAGATCAGGCTGAAGAAAAAGTGTTGATACAGGGGGAAGTTGGGAAAATGAATGAGGATGAACATTTCTAGGGCTTGGTGGGCAGCAGCTCTGAGCAGGGAGAGGGATGGAAGGCCTGGGAGATGGGGGAACAGTAAGGAAGGAGGTGTGTCCCTCTAATTGTGGGTCAGAATTGGAGGATTGGGAGTACACAGAGAGCATTAACTAGGGGAGGGAGCAGCAGGGAGGAGGATCCCTGATCTCCCCACTACTGCTGGGGACAGTCTGCAAGGCAGTGGTGCTTGGGGAACTGTGGGGCAGGACCCCTCCCCATAATCTGACGAGGTCTGTAAACTGGTGAGGGATGCAGTGACTGAAGGGGTCTGAAAGGAAAGAACCTGCCAGCTTTCAGGCCCCTTCAGATTTTGGGTGGGGGGGAGGAGGGGACGGAATGGGAGGACAGGATAGTGACAGCAGCACAGCTGAGGTGTGGATATGCAGTGACCGGGGCAGGAAGATGGTGTGGGTCGGGGGGATGCTCTGACCACAGGGAAGGGAGCACAGATTTAGGGAGGGGAGAAGATGCTCTGGGCACTGCCGCGGGGTGATGGACTGCCCTGCCGGGCACAGACCCAATCGCGAGTTTGCATCGCAGGGGGAAACACAGACCCTTCTGCGCGTCCCCAGCACTGATGGGGATCGCTGGGGACGGCGGCGCTCTGACCCTCTCCTCCCCACAGGCCTCCCGCGGGTCAGCGGCGGCAGCGGCGGCGGCGGCGGGTCCGCCCGAGGCGGCGGAGCGGGAGAAAGAGCGGGAGAAGGAGCGACAAGGGCCTCCACAAGAAGGGCCTGGGCAAGGGCTGCTTCGGGCTCAAGCTGGATCGCATCGGCGCCATGAGCGGCCTCGGATGCTGAGGGACCCCTGGCGGTGAGTGCGCGGCCGGGCCGGGCCGGGACCGGGACGCGGCCGGGACGGGGCCGGGGGCTGCGGAAGATGCGCCGCTCTGCGAAGGCGAGATGCCAGCGGACGGGACTGCAGGTGTTCATCCGCTGAGCCTCGCAAGCTCCGGCTTTGCTGGGCGGGCAAAGAGGAGGACCCCAAAGTTGGCTTTATTATATTCCCGTCTGGAATCCATCGGCCCTCCCGCTGCCTTGCCCTGCAGAGGGGTCAGAGAGGCCAGCTGCTCCCGCAGCAGCTCAAACTGGATTCCCCCTAATTTGAGCTAGACCTGTAGGCTCCGGGGAGGATGCAGGAGGAGCTCCGGTGCAGCCACATGCTCCTAGCTGCCCCCTCTGCTTGACACACTTAGGTGACCTATGGATAGGTGTTAGGAGGGCAGGGTAGCCCCTGTGTGCCTGCAGTTGGAGAGTTACGGAGGCTCCTGTCTCAGCCATGCTCCAGTGGTTTTAAGGAGAACAACACAGAAATTCCCCAGGTGTTTTCTAGGTGTGGTGACAGCCATGAGAAGCGCTTTCCTAACTGCAGCTTTGTATCAGAGCAAGTTACAGGATGCCAGGGGAAGTTCTTCCCACGGTGCTTCACAGCCACTTTGTAGCAACCAATGGGTGAAGGAGTGTCGCTTCCCCAAAGTGATGGGTTTGGGAAAAACATGGCAGTGCCTCCCCTGCCAGGTCTCCCTGCAGGTACTGGGGACAGTGAGGCACGTTCTGGCCTGGCCCTGCCAGCAGGACACACACAGATGAATTCACACTTCGGCAAGCACCTACCACTGCAGCCCAGGCCACTTGCTCTTCTTCCCATGGCACAGCTCTGCAGTAACATAACTGGGCACAGAGGGGACTGGATCCAGCATCCTGCTGCTCTGCAGGGCGATGGGAGTAGCACAACCCAAAGGTGCCTACAGGATGCCAGTGCTGGTCTGTGACCTGTCCTGGAGGGATGGGTGCTGTTTCTCTCTTCCCTCATTTAGAGACTCCTCAATATTGCCAAGTATTGCTAGCTCAGGGCTCCAAGAGGAACACGCCCATGTAGGCAGGTCACACTCCTTCTCTCTCACTAAACCCATCAGAAGAAGGAAAAAAACTCTAATAGACACAAGGGCAGGAGGAGCAGCAGCTTCTCTCAGCCTCTCCCCTGAACACTAGCCAGAAAGAAAAGAGTGCGCTTCTTCCTTGCTTTAGCACAAGCAAAAAGCTCAGGGATGGCTTCTGCTGAGTCCAGCATCCCCCAGCCCCAGGCCATGGATACTTTGGCAGGGGTTTTGGCTGGGGATGGGTAAGGGGTGCTGCATGGCAAGTACTAATGGGCACTTTGTTCTTGTTCCTTGCAGGCCTTTGAATCCATAGTCCACTTTTTCCTACCACGCACAGCCAGGCACAGCCATCCCCCAGGCAACACCTAGAGAAGCAGAGACCCCCTTGGAATGGACAAAAGATGTGGTTGTGTTTTTCTTTTTGGTACGAGGAGTCATGGCACCAACTGTTTTGGTTTTGTTATTTTTTTAACAAGTGCTCTCTATCTTATATATATTATATATACAAACACTCACCGAGACAAGGGACAGTGCTTTTCCAAGAGACTGATGAAGCCAGCTGTATAACATTGCTGTTTGTAAATTCATGTCATGCATAAATGTATTTATGTTGTAAAGCTATTTATATATTGTTTATAAAGAGATATTTATAAAAAAATTATTTATGTAACTAAATGAAAAGTCAAGCATTGTAACATTTTTTGTCCTAAGTAGTTGAAAAACTTTAAAAAAAAATCATTCCGTGTGGCATTTTGTAACCTGTCTTTATTTATCAAATTCACATACAATTTCAATGTCAGATTGACTGATTTTAACAGAGCTAAAGAAGAAATTGTTCAGATGCTTTAGAAAAGTCAGGAGTAAGAGAAAGGCCATCTGATATTTTAAGCTTTGATCCCATATGCAAAAGTAAACTTGTGCCCAATCCTGTGATGCTCTGATGGACTGAATCCTGCCTGGCGCTGCAAGACTCTGCAGACCCCAGCTGAGCTCCCTGCGAGCACACAGCCTTGGGCAGCACCTCTATGCCCAGATCCCAAATGGCACCCCTGGAAATGAGCCCACCATGGTTAACGGCCGAGCCCTGGATCAACAGCAGCGTGACAAGGGCAGCATCTGTCCCAGACCTGCTTTAACCACTTCCAGCCCAAGCTTCAGCCCATAACTGCAGTTCTATCACTGGTGCTGGATGGAGACGCCGTCCCTGCTGACAGCAACAAAGAGCCTGCGCTGGACCTGGCCCCCAGCTGCGCTGGTGGGAGCAGAGCTTTGTGCCAGAGGCACTGCCATTCCAGGATCCAGTGGCTCACTAAGTCTTGTTGATATTCCCATCCGCCAGCCCTTTGCCACTAAGCTGTAAAGTCCCTTCCTCCAGCAGAGAATTTATTTAACTGAGCCAGGGACCATACGTAGACAGACCAAAATATACCAAGAGCTGCCTGGTAAGGATTCATAGACACAGCTGTTGCTAAAGCTTCTTGCTATGTAAAGTGCATGAAATAAATCGTTAAAATGACTTGGAGCACTAAAGGAAACAGCAAGTGAGGGGGCGGGGAGTGCAGTAAACACACAAACTCCTGCTTGAAGGCTCTTTGGTCTCATTCTTCAAAGAGGCCTTAGAAAAAAAGAGAGTGGCAGGCGCCCAGCCCAGCCGTGACAGGAGTCACAAATTATGCCCTGGCCATTGTAGTGGGCTGGGAAACAACGAGCATTATGTTCTGCTGGGCTCTGGTGCCTAGGACAGGGCAAAGAGAAAGTCACCAAGACCCAGAGGCAAAGCGATCCTTTTCCTTAGCAACCACCAGGAAACCATAGAAACCTCCAGCCAGACTCACCCCAGCTCTGACAGAACACTGGGTGCACAGAACAAGAGGATTCATCCCGACACCCGACAGCTCAATCATCAGGTTAGGAGCGCACAGGGGACGTTTCTGACCTCGCACGAGCACGGCCTCCATCAGAGACAGGTACCCACCTCGCAGTGCCCACAGGATCCAGCTGGACGGGGAGCAGCAGCTGATGGATCACACAACATGTTGCCTATGGGGAACAAAATCAAGACCCTGGCAGGGAGGGAGGCAGGATGGGCAAGTGGCAGCTCCCATAGGGAATGGCAACCTACTGTCAGGGCTCTGTAAGGCAAATACACCTGTGAAGGTCACCCTTCCAGCTCCACACATCTTTAGAGGGAAGGAGGGGCTGTATCAGGAGCTCCTAAAGAGATGCCCATTAAAGGGGACTGTCTGCTGTCACCCAGGAAACCTACAGGACAACAAGAATCGCTCACTGCGCAGACCTTGCACAGCCAGGTCTGAACAGAGGTGTAAGAAGATGGTGCTGCAGGTCCTGCTCAGAGTCCTGGTCCTTGAGCATGAAGCCAGAGTAGTGCCCATGCTAGAGTGACATGCTGGGACCAAGGTGGAGACAATTCTCCTTCCAGTTTTGGCTTTTTGCTTCAAGCCAGAGCTGAAATAAAACCACCTGCCTAATGACAGAGGGGCTGTCCTCAACACAGCAGCAGGGACTCAGCCTCAGGAATTCAATCCACACAATTTTACCACATTAGTGAGGCAGAACCTGAGATAAGATTGGGAGATTGATGATCACAGCCTGGGGTCACGTACAGTCTGGATTCCTGTTTCTCCTCGGCAGCACTGTCCAAGAATAAAAGCACAGCCCACAGCATGGGTCCCTTCCATCCACTGGGCTTCCTGGGAAAAAGCAAGCCCAAGGAAAAGGGCAAAGCTGTATAGCGAAAGGCCATTAGCTCGGCAGAGAAGAGCAATCAAGAGCTACAGCTCCGGGTGGAGAGGGAGAGAATAACAGCTTGGTTCCTCACTTTCCTGCTTCTGGTCTGACCAGGGAGCCACCTGTCCCTTAGGATGTGGATGCCCACCAGCAGGATGAGAATATCGTGCCCATGTGTGGTGATGATGTGCAAGAGAGAAGGCAGCACTCAGGGGTGAAAGAACACTCGGGAAAGCTCAAATCCACTCGACCTCAGCCCCTCCGTGGCACAGCCAGAGCAGTGGGTCTGACAGGCAGAGTGGCACTGCCAGCAGAGGTCAGTTCTCAGAGCACTGATGAGCACCTTCCTGCTTCACTGGACAAGCAAGAATGGGAATCAGAAATGGCTCATTAGAACACAGCAATCACCCAAAATGGCCACAACTGGGTCTCTGACAGGGGCTCAGTAGAAAACAAGGGCAGCAAGAAAGAGGGGCCACAGGAATGTAATTAAGAGGCAAGGAGGCATCTTGTGCAGCAAAACCAAATTCATCTTGCGTTGCTGCCTCCCCTGATGGCCAGCTAGGTCAGATCCTTACAACGTCCCACGAAAGGATCCACGGCCAGCCCTGGAAAACTCCCCTGCTACATCCCAGCCTAGACAGCATAAGTGAACAATAGTTGTTCTGGATGCAAGGTGCAGCCTCAGGAGGTGGCATCTGATATCTCAACCATAGTCTCAGAGAATGGCCTTTAGCAGAGGTGTGTACACACACCTGGAAGTGAGGGGAGAAGGAGTCCCAGGGTTCCCTGTCCATACTCAGGTCAAATTAGCACTCATGGGACCTACACATTTTCTGCACTACCAGCTGGACGAGGAGTAGCCAATTCAGTTTCCAAATGGGAACACTTGTGACATGACATAGAAACAGCCTTGATTTCTCCTCTCCAGGAGCAATTCCTAGCAGGAGTTGAGCCATCAGCCCCCAGCCTGAAAAATCTAGTGGAAAAGGACAAAGAGCTTCCTCCAGTGCTGTAGTACAAGTGCCTGGCAAAGCCCAAACAGGTTGGAACAGACGTTGGAACACTCACAGCAGGGCCACTGTTGTCTTCTAATGTGTGGGAAATCTGTTCTGTTCCCATATTCCATGTTTTTCCCTGGTACCATTCATGCAACTTTTCCCAGGTACTTATTGCCGAAGGGTTACAAAGCCCAGCTCTGGTGACAGCAAATCCCAAAGCAATGAAGAAAAAGAGAAACCTGGAGTCCCAAAGCAAGAGAGCAAAGGAATTTTCCATCTGGAAAGGGACTTGAGGCATGGAGCAGGGACTGCCAGGGGCAGCAACAAACATGCCCCTGCCACTTGCTCCAGGACTTCTCCAAGCAAGGGCTGCTTCCCTCAGAATGCAGAAAAACAAAGGGAAGGGATCACAGGGCGACTTCCAGAGGGAGCCTGCACCTGACACAAGCATGAGTTAAAAACAAGATGGGAATTGAATTCAGGCCCCTTCCTGTCAGTCAGCAACTAACCTTGTCAGGAGGGATGGCAGCACTAACTGAATCAGGCAATTCATTAGGTTGGGGCACACAGCAAAAGCCCACGCTCTCTGGAGCAGAACTACAGTGAAAATCCAGGGTAATGAGTTGCAAACTGCCTTTGTAAATGATACTTCTGCAGTGACTCTGGCAGGATGGGAAAAGAACTAATAGGAAAATCATTAGGTAGCATCCCTTTGATATTGTTGAAAACTGCACAGGCTATTTTTCCTGCCCCCTCCATAATTAACCTGGTATATTACCCATAATATTCCAGGCTGATAGTCCCACAATGGACCACCTTATCTGCATCAGGGGAAAAGAAGGGTGTGCTATTTAAAATGAAGACAACTCCTGGAAAAGCTTAAAAGGTGTTAAGATTTCCCCCCTACCACTCACACATCTTCAACTCCATCACAACCAACCTCTGCCCAGCCAGGAGACCAAAACCCTGTCACAGTCAGCAGGTAGGAGCAAGGCTGTCCTGGGAAATGCAGCTGCACAGGAACTGATCTGCCCAAGGTTGCTCTCTGCAGCTGCAGCAGAGCTGGAAGAGGACACAGTTCTGTGCTTTGCCCCTTATTTACAACACTGTCCTTGTCCTTGATTTCCCTTATGCTAAACCAGGCTACAGCCTGCACCTCCTGAGATGCAGAACAGCTCTGAGGAGCAATGCCTACCCACCTGGCTTGTCTGCCAGCAAGGAGAGGTGTCATCTCTGAGTCGTGATGTAAAAGGTACAGCATCACAGCTGGCAGGTGATCCTGAAGGAACTGGTGCTCTCTAACAGCTGCGAAGGTGACAATGAAACACCGAGACGTTACTTCCTGCATCAGCACAGAGCAGCCTTAGGACTGTGCTGATCATGAGACCGTGAGTGGAACATGAGGGCTCGTGAGATAAACAGCATCTTTGGGAAGAGTCTGGAGGGCAGGAGAACACTACTGCCAAACCTCATACCCATGAAAATGCAGCCTGTGGTCAGACAAGCCCCAAATACTCACAGAGGCTGATCCCTGATGGAACGAGGCTTTGCTTACCCACCCCAATCAGCTCTTTTGGAAACACAGAGCTATCATGTGTGACTTTCAAAAACATTTCAAAAACACCCAAATGATACAGATTCCACAGGCTCTTTGGAGATCTGGAGATGTGGAAGTGTGTGCCATCTCCTACTAGAATTAGAGCAAGCAAGGACTACTGGCACGAATTATTTTGTGCGCTGTGGGGAAATACATATGTGAGGACTGTTAAATGACCTTGTGGCATCCCATTACTGCCTGGAATTTCCAGTGGGTATGTATGCATATTCACTAGAGCAGGGATATCTCTTCCTGAAAAAACTGTGGTCACAGCTACCACACTGAGGCAGTTTGCAGTAGGGCATGTCATGAGATGCACACACTGCACAAAGAAGCCTCCGTGCCTGTAGACGTGCCTGTAGATTCAGACAGGGAGAAAAGTGCTGCCCATTCCTTTGCCTGGCTGACCCACTGGAGAGGGAAGTAGCACCACGGGGATGCCAAGAGGCAGAGTCAGCCCAGGCTAGGGGGTAAACACACACTCTCTTTACAATCACTTACCTCTGGGAGCTCTGTGGGAGGGCCAAACTTGAGGAGCTATCAGCAAAATGTCAACAGTCCCTGAGAGACACGGACCTTCGTCATGGAGCAGAATGAAACAATGACATATTCCTAAAAACTCTGCCGAGAAATTCAATCAGACTGTCAGGCTAAAATTCCACACTAAGAATACAAGCTTGAGATTACAAGTAGGAACTGAGATCTCTCTAAACTTTAATTTACCTTTCTTGATGGCCCTGGGTTACTCTCTTTCAGATTACACAAAAATATGCTGTGCAGACTCAGGTTTTGGTTCCCTTGCGTTAGGTCAGGTGTTATAGAGGACTTAATGGGGTGGAAAAAAACTACAGGAAATCAGGTGCCTAAGATAGGGATATCTGGGTCTACTGTGTTAGTTGGGCAGGCTCTTAGATTTCTCCATCTCCCCATTATTTAGAATAATAAAGAGCAAGGCTGTTTTTCTGCATTGCAGTTTGCAACAGGCTCAGACCAAAAATAGGAATCCCCAGCACCAAAAGCCCCACAAATGCACAAGTCTGGGCTGTTTTACTGTGCAGGGGTGGGCTTTGTGTGGTTTCTAGCTTAGCTGAACTCATATAACCCCACACAGAACTGAAAGTTTAGGAAAAGTCTGGTTTGCCCATGAGATTTATGTTGTAATACTGCTATCAAAGATAAGGGCACTGTTCCTTCTGTCTTCCCTGCAATGAGTAAGCACAAGTCTGCTTGGCACACGTGGATCAACGCATTTTGCCCTCATAGGATAAGAACACTAAAACCAAAAACACCTTCTGGGGTCTGCATCCTTTTACATTCCTTCAGGAACTGAAAGATGTTCAGCAAAATGCACTTTGCAGGGCTGGTGGGAAAATGGCCACTTCTTTCCACCACTGTCTTCTGTAAAGAACAAAAGCTTCACTTTTTCCAGCTTCACTCTGGAGAGCAGCTCTGCAGGTCCTACTCCTGTACACGATCCATGGAGAGAGACCTGCAAGCGTGAGACCAGCCCCACAAGCACCCATGGGATTTCCTGGGGCTGCACAAGACTGATTGCAGGACAGGTCTCAAATCTGAAGACAGGAGGGTCTGTCAGCATCACTGATTTTCCCTCCTGCTCTCAACACAAGAGTAAGTTAGCATTCAACTTAGTTAAGAAGGTGAGAAGGGAAGTAAAAGAAGAAGAAGAAATTTTAAGCCAAAACTTTTTTTTCTTCTTCTGTTAAAGACTGACATCAGCGCTGCTTTATTGTGTTCCAGAATTGCCTGATGTTAGCTGGTATCAACCGAGTCTCGGCAGGAATGCCAGGGACATTTGTTAGCATGAGGCACAGCTTTAGGGCTAGGGCAGCCTACCAGCACTGCAATCAGCTGAGATCCTCTCTTCCATTTTCCAGCTCAGTGCTCAATTCCATATTAAACAAGCACTAGTACAAGAGGAGCTGCAGAACACAAAGCTAGACAATAAAGCCCTGAAGAGCAGAGGGAAGGCAGTTTCCATCCACTTTGTCTCCCTCTGGGTGGAAAAGGCAAACAGAAGTTCAATAGCTCAAAGTCTGTCCTGCTGCAATCTTGGAGCGAGCTGCAGCTGGAGCATCCCATTGCTGCCATAAACCAAAGCAGGGCAGGATGCTCACCCTGCACCAGGGAGCAGCGTCCAGCAGTGCTCAGACAAGCTGTGCTAGCTGCCTCCAGCAGGCACAGGCAATCCATGGGAGCTTGCATCAAATCGGCCTCTGTTTCCACCTCCCTCTTGTACCCATAGCAGTTCAGCTCCCTGGGCACTCCCCACTTGAAACTGCCCACAATTCAGCCCCTAATTCACACAACTCTGCTCTGAGTTGCTGCCTTTCCTGTAGTCAACAGGACATCAACAGAGTCTTTATCTGTTGTCCTTCTCAAACAGCACAGCACCTCCTGCATCCTTGCCCGTTAACAACTCTGCCTTCTGCTTCATTTCTGGAATAGCTTCTAACTCTTTCCTTCAAGCCAGATTCATTAACCAGCTGCTGCAGAGCTGTTTGCCTCCCCCAGGTACTCTGTGCATGTCATTTGTTAATGACTCATCTCAGCCTGGGCTCATTGCAGACGTCCCCCTCCTTTTGCAGCACCAAGCCCTTTGCTGGCACACCAGGAAAGCCAAATACGCCAACAGCTCCATCCCCTTCAACACACCAATCCCTTCTCTGTCCTCTGTCACCATGAGACATGGGATAGCTCTTTACTCAAAGTGCTATTTCCTCTCTTGCTGCTTTGCTGATCAAAGGCAATGCAAACCAAAGCGTAAATAAGATCCTCACCCCCAGCCAGGCTTTGAGAACAGCAAAAACATAAGAACGAGCTCAAAAACTTCCAACTGCTAAAGAAGCTTCAGTAAACTAATGTGACTCCATCACATCCTCCCTGGCAGGGAATAAACACCAAGGGCACCAAACTCACATCTATTTCCCCAGCAGACTGTGGCTTGATGAGGACCTAAAATGATTCCCAAAGGCATTTGTATTCCTCCTGCCACCTTGCAGGACTGATATTAAAAATGGAAAGAGAACCATAGAGCCTCACTAGTCAAATCCAGTGAGGAACTGGATGACCAGCACATTGCAGCTATCCACACAGCAGGCTAGAAACAGACACAGTCCAGCTCCACCACACAGACTTAGGAACATAAAGTCCACCTGCACCTCCTGAGAAGTTGTCAGCTGAACACTGTAAGAAGCTGAAACAGGAGCTAATACTGCCACTGCTTGGGAAACAGTTCCATTGAATTATTGGTGAAGGCTTTGTGCTCTGGGCTCATCCACTTAACATCCTTGTTGCATTTCTAGGGGGAGAGAGAGCTGGTAAAGAATCAGAAGCCTGACCAGAATCAGAAGTGTCTGGGACTTGACCCAGAGGAAGCTGGAGGGAGGGTATTTAGATCTTCCTCTCCAGACTGAAAGCTGGTGTGCCTGCACTGCAGGAGAAGAAAAGGAGAGGGATTTACTCTCACAAGTGAGCAAGTCCTGTGACTGAGGACTGCAAACACACAGATGGCAGAGCCCTGGTAGCAATAAGAGGAAGGCACGTGCATTGCACGAGCAAATGCAGGTGACAGCTGGCTGTAGGACTGGAGCATTGTCACAGTCCTCTGCTTAAACAGCTCCCCTGCCTGCTCAGGGAAAGAGCTTCTCTTTACAGAAGTGAAAAGCAGGAGCCAAACTACAAAGCAGCACTCTACTAGACGCAAAGGAAGGAACAGACTGGCCTCGGAGCACAGCTACAAACCTTCCACAACCAGGCATCAAAGCTGTTTAGGCTCAGGACACATCAAAGCTGTTTAGGCTCAGCTACCAGCTTTGCCACACATCCTTCTGCACAAATCTGGACAAAGATGAACTACTGACAAAACGTGAAGAGGCTTCCCTGTCTCCCAGATGCATCAGAGAGATCAGTCGACCATCGGTCAACATACACCAAGAATCAAATGCATGCTTAAGTGAACAAGTGCCATTGGACAACAAGCCTAAAACAGCCTCCAAGTCAAAACTCCAGACTCTGACATTAAATCAGCATTTTTAATTTTTTTCTAAAATGTACTTTTTTATGAATTGCTGTTCCAATGCTTCCCCCTTAAAAAAAATCCCACACCGTGCCAAACTAGGTGCAAATCACCTGAAGTTAGTTTGTAACAAATAAAAAAACCCCCACAAAACAAAGGCTGAAATGCTTTAGAATCACAACAATGTACAAAAAAAAAAAAAAAAGAAAAAAAAAAAGGAGGAAAATACAACCTGAAAGTGTTCAAAATTCAGAAAGACTCATCAAGTCCATTGCTTCAGCAAGGGGATGCTGCTGCGACCCCTGCCAGTGGGTCCTGGGCCACCAGCCTGCCTCCATGCCAAACAGGCTCCTCCCACTGTCACCAGCATCCAAGGAAGAGTGAATGCATTACCCTCTGAAGGTATCAGTGGGGGAAAGAACTCACAAGCAGCTCTGGGAGGTCACATCACATTCAGGAGGAAGTTTCTAGCATGCCCCTGACCACCTGCAAGGTCTGTGTGAAAGAGCAGCCTGCTTCCTCCTTGTACTGATGCCTCAGAGATGCAGAACAGTGCTTTAAATCTGTGAGAGATTAAAGGGCTTAGTAAGGGCAGTAAACAGACAGTTAAGTAAACAGCCCAGCACTGGAACTCATCTTCACAGAGCGAGGTAGTGTGAATTTCACCCCAGTTTAAAATAGACAGGGGTAGCGGAAAGGCTGAAGGCTTCCATGTAAAGCAGTTCCTGGCCTAGAAACCTTCCTGTGCTCCCTTTGGGAATGAAAAGATCTGTGTTGATGGCTTCCTCGCTCCCAGCCTGGCTTTGGTAGCCACACTTCAACCCTGGGATTCAGATGCTTGCTATAGAAGCTCTCCCATGATCTGATTCAGTAGAGCAGCTTCCTCAAGGTTAAGCAGCAATGAACTAGCTGGGAGGGAGCAAAACGGTCCACAGATATTTTGGTTTTTTCCTGCCCCTTTTGGTTAGTCCCTTTCTTTAAAAGTCCCTCTTGACAGGACCAGAACAAGGACACCCTGAAAACTCATAGGAGCTGCACAGTGTAACTTAGCCAGGTGCTGCTAACTGGGAGCTGTTCAAACAGGGCTTTTACTTGCCAGCTGGGAAGGGACTGGCCCAGAACCCACTGAAAAAGGAGACGCAGGCCCTTTTTGCTCCTCCTGCTGTCATTCCTAACTGAATGACATTTAGATGGCATGTTCTAGTGACGGCTGGAGACCAGCCCTTTGACTTTGGACATCTTCTTTGTGGGCTGCCTTTGTTCTGTGTGTGGAGGGCACTCTCGCTCTACCAGCTGCTGTTCCATCTCCTGTGCCGACGACGAGGCTGTAGCTTTTAATGTTTTCTTTATGTTTGTGACCTGGCCAAGAAGAGACAGTGAATCAGCACCTGCTTCTTCCTTCTCTTGCAGCAGACACTCTGTTCATAAACATATTGAAAAACCCCTGGAGTATAAGAGTGGAGAGTATAAAAGAGACTCTCCCAGCAGTAACATGCTCTCCATTTGAGTTTAATAAAAGTAATGCATCATCCTCGTTTACAGACAGAGCTAATAGTATTTCCAGTCTGGAATAACTAGGGATTACTTTTTTCCCCAAGGACAATGGTACAATATTGTACCACCCTTCTGTCTGGCTGGAGGGACCTACTACTGCCTTGGTGCAGAAGGAGCCATCCTACCATTCTGTCAGCCAGCAGCAGGAAGAGGAAAGGAGACAGTGAAAGAAAAATTTACTCTCAGGACAGAACTCAAAAGGCACTTGGCCTACCTGACTACCTGAGACACAGGTTATTTGCTAAGAAGCAGGAACAGAAATTGGTTTTGTGGGAAGCAGCAGTAATGTTTCTGCTACTCTGGCTGAAAAGGAGAGATACAGCACTAAGCACCACCCTCGATCCCCTGGAACTCTGCAGGGCTCACCACAAACACAGCGAACAAACCTTCAAAAAACCCCCAAGGTTTGGGAGTCAGGCGTGCCAACCCCAAGCCAAAGGCATCTGGCAAACCAAACGTGCCACGGATACCGATCAAGCCTCCAAGCAGGGACGGTAACGCCCGATGCAGCGTCTCGGGAGGCCCATGCCCACCTTGCCAGCGGCCTCGGGAGGCCCATGCCCACCTTGCCAGCGGCCGGGGCTGCTCGGGGCTGCTCGGGCCGGGCCGGGCCGCGGGCTCGTGCTGCCACCTAACGGCGGGAGCGCGCCAGGGCACGTTCGGCGAACGCAGCCGAGACTCCGGAGAGCTTTCACCGCGCTCCCCGGTTTTACAAAGACAAGTGGTTTTTACCCCCTGCCCGCCTTGTACGAAGGGAACAGCGTTGCAGTGAAGATTTGCAGTAAAAGAACAGTCTTCCTAACGAATCAATACAGGAAACCACAATTAGTGCAGTTACCTAGCCTAAATTTATAAAAATTTATCAATAGAAGTTCCACTCTGCTGGAAGTCTGATGTTTGTGGTCTTACTAGCACTCAGAAGCAGATGTGCTCTCTTTCTACCCCATACCTGATTTGCATGATTGTTAGCCTTTTTCTGAGAGCCGTGACCATCAGCCAGGCATTTACTATAGATTATTTCCTTCAGCAAACAAACATTTATCCAACAGCATAGAGGCCTGAGATGACTCTGTACCCACCTCCATCTCTACCTGCTGCTGAGTTCGGTGGTGGTTCTCTTTGTACTGGTTGGCTCTAAGTACTTGCTGCTCAATTCCTAAAAGAACTGCTTCACAGCCATCACACCTGCAAGATACAAATGATGTCAAACAGTGTTTATGAATTCTCCCTGGAGCAGCTCAATCAGGCAATCTGAAAAGTCATGCTCATCTAAAAGTTTAAGAGATTATTAAATTTATACTTCCTGCTTAGAGTTGCAAAAAGCTGGCAAGAAAAAGCTTTGCTGTGTACTTGATGCATTTCTCAGCACCCTCTAGAGGGTCTGTGTTACCCTTACCATCAGACAGTAAGTGCAGGTTCAATGCCCTTTCATCTTCCTTTTCAGACAGAATTACAGCTTAAACAGGATGCAACACATCCTGTATTCAGGATGAATACAACACATTGTATTCAAATGCAAAATTTTAAAATCGTAGAAAAAAGTAATATTAAGATAATCCTCCTGCCTGTTAAGTGTTCAAATGACAAGAGCACTCAGCATGGAACTCAGAACTGGAAGACAAAAAGGGAATTGGCAGTGGGTTCACCGTTCACTTCCAAACAATGCTGCAAGGTCCTGGAAGCTGTCAGAGCCTTCCCACAGTGATGGGACTGAGGGAGTTGGAGCAGAGAAGCAAAAAACCTGCCCCCACCACAGGACAGCATATTTGCCCAGCAGTTTAATTACTTTTCACTCATTACCATAGCAACTAGGAAGCAATTCCCAGTCAGCCCAGGACCTGCCATGGGCTCCGTATTCTAGGCAGGAATTTCCTTAGGTGGGAAGGGAATCCTACAAAAAGATGAGAAAAGCTTCCTGGCAAAGGTACAAAGAGGTAATACCACAGTCCCACTACAATTGCAGACAGGCTGCATTTGCAGAAACAAAGAAAAGACAAAGCCACCTGAAACTTCAGACTTGTAGAGACATCCCATCCAAAGAGCTGTGATTCTCTAGAATTTGCCCACACAGTTCTCAACACAGTGAAAAAGGCTGAAAAGTAAGAGTTCTGTCTTCATTATTAAGTGCTGCAGCTCCCACCACAGAACCATGAGTCCAGTTTGGCACCTCTTTCTGTGAAGTCCTTGATTCATCACTGGGGTTCTGCCATGTAAAAGCTACAGTGAGAGCAGAAGCTCACAATGTGGTAGAGTTTGGCTTGATACATAACACAAATTGAGTCCCAGATGGGATCTTGGAAAACTTGCCCAACAGACTCCTCCTCCAAGTGCCTACTTATAGCATACGACTCCTGATTAATGGAACATGGTAAAATTGAGCCAGCACTTGAAACTGTCAGGGGGAAAACAGGACAAGCTATGTACAAGGAACAAGGAGGGTGGAGAGACTGCCTCACCATTCCTGGAGTGTTTTGACAATGTTACTGATGTCCTTCTTCTGAATGTCTCTGCCAATACAAAAATCCACCTCTAACACCTGGTTTCGCTGATCCAGCTTCCCTTGGATAATATCTGTGTAAACTGCTTCAATAATGAGATCTTCCAGCTCCCTCAGATTCCTCATATCCAGGTCCTTCAGCAACACAGAATAGGGAATGCACTAAAAACAGCAAGACCAAGAGTAAGTTAACAGTCCTAGAGCAAAATGAATGGCTAAGTCTCAAAAGGTTGAGACTCAAAAGTTTATTGTATCCTACACTTTGACCTGCAGGTGCAGCAGTGACTGATCATGACAGAACAAGTGCTTGCCAGGCTATGAAATATTCTGACACAACTTTGGTAATTCCTGAAGTATTCCTATACTATTGGTATAGTATAGCACTTTCTAGAAGAAAAAAGGTAAATGTTGCCAGGCTATGAAATATTCTGACACAACTTTGGTAATTCCTGAAGCTTTGGTATAGTATAGCACTTTCTAAAAGAAAAAAGGTAAATAGGATTGTAGAAGAAATTAAGAGTGTTGCATAATTTTCTCTAGAACAAAAAGTCAGTGTTTTAAAGAATGATTCTCCATCTCCAGCAGTGAAAAAAGCCAAATGAAATTTCCCAGACCTTCCTGACCAATCTGTATGTCAGTTCAGACGCCCCCACACTTCACCCATGGAAGTCTACTAAGTCAATATCCCAAACACACCAGGAGAGAACACTGTACCCTACATGTACCTTCCCAGTACAGGATTTTTTTGTGAGTACCCATGCAGTCAGTGCTCTGGAGTGGATGCCATTTTCTAAAACAAAACCAAGAGACAGCAGCTGTCAAACCCCACACACTTTACCTTCATTCGGGAAGCCAGGCTTACGATCGTCAAGTGTTTCAGCTTGTTTTTCTGAGTCACTGTTAATTCAGGCAGGTTATCTTTGTTTGCTGTTAACGTCAAAAACACAAGATTCAGGATTTCACTTTGAAAATGACACAATCCAAGCTGCAGAACTCCAGGCTAGTTATGCTGCACTACACCCTGAAATACTGAGTGCCTCTGGCTAATGTGGGTGCTGGCTGGGGAGCAGAGCGTGCTGCTGCAGATAAACCGGCACAACCAGGGAGAGAAGGGGAGAAGTTAAGAACAACTTGGCAATTCCATTCTTATCTGCTTCTTTAGTAATTCTGGTTCTGGAATTATAAGGCAATTCATAACTGGTGCCCTGCCAAAACAGTTGGTCAATGGCTTTGTTTCTACTAAGTCATTTTTATTTAATTAACAAGCTGACAGAAAAAAAATCTTCCCCCTTTGCTGATCTGGTTGCAAATACAGCTGGTTTTATTTCTCTGAAGAGCTGCAGAATTTAAAGTGCAAAGTACTAAGCTGAGGAAGAGAGGAGAAATCATTAATCTAGATGGCCACACTGTCACTGTATTATATCCATGTGCCTCATGAATATTTAAAAAGAAAAAGGAAACTGGCAGCCCTCCAAAGCTAAGAAACTCTTTAGAATACCTACTTTAATGGAAATTAGTGTTTCAGGGCCACTCAAGTTCTCCCATCCATCCCACCTCATCCAATGCTCTGCATTTTGACTCCTTTTCCCTCTTTCTCTTTCTTCACTAGAAAAGGAAGAATGAACTGTGCTGCCACACAGTGACACAAGAGCCACGGACAGCAAGCACATCCTCTAATCAGTCACAGAATTCATGAGGCTCATGTTGCTCCACAGACACTGGAATTTCCAGTCCTTGCACTTACAGATGCTGCTGCTCCTTACAGGAACTAGATAGCTCATCCACCACCCTGAGAAACAGCACTATGACAGAATTATTTGTCACACTCTGTAATGGTCTGGATGAGGCTGCTACCCACAAATGAAGCATTAAATTGTAGCAGAATGGAAGCATAAGCACCGGAGATAAAAGCACATTTCAACAGATACAAAGATGATTCACACATAGGCTTTCTAAAGCTGCATAAAAGTCATTATTTCAACTTGTATTCTAGCTAAGAAATTATTCACTTTGTTTCAGCAATGCCGTCATGGAATAAAAGGTTATCTCACAAACCATATAGGTTTTTATAAATAATGCAGAACAATTTTGTCTAAGTTTTCTGCAGTTTCCACAACCAGTGTCATCTGAATTTCCATAGAGATGCCTGAAATTTCCCTCTACGGAGGTAAGTGGCCTGTGAACATCAATGAATTCTGCTGCAGACCAATTCAACCCAGCGCTGCAGTCCCATCCAAACCAGCAGCACCCCAGAGTCTCTAACCCTTCCTTTCATTTTTAGCAACCAAAAAGCACACATGACCCAGACCCCACTACAGACAATTATCTTCCTAAGCAAACTCCTGTTCCTGGATGCTTTCACCCAGCCACACTACACCAGGTATCTAAGAAAGCAAAGAATTGCCTCTGACAATCCTAAAGGGCACCCCAGTCCCACCTGTGCAAACGGGCAGCAGTCTCTTACCCACATAGTCCCGGTAGGTTCCGTACGCAAACAGGTTCAGCAGCTGGAAATAAGCAGCGTTAGACCCCTCAGCAAGCTGGATGGGGAGAAAAGAAAGGTCACACAAAATGGGCAACACAACCCTGAAAGGCACCTTCTCCAGAGAATGGTTTAAGTCTGCACAGGACATAAGCAGAAAAGCAATTATATCCCAAGCTGGACCCTTTCTAAGGCCTCAAGAGCGGGAAATTTCAGCAGTTTTACAGTCAAGATGATCCAGCCATTTCTATGCACTGGAACTTAATTCCAGTTTGGACTGTCAACTGCTTTGTGTGGCAACTTGGGAGGTAAAAGAAAAAAGCAGATCTTAACTTCAGCTGACAACCTAGAGGGCCAGCTCCTGTCATCAGGTGATAAGAAGCAGGTAATGGTGATGGCTGGTGAGGACCCTGTGAAAGCCAGGACAGCTCACCTGCAGAGCCAGCATAGCTTCAGAGCAAAGCAAGCTGTACCTGGAGTGCACTGGAAGGTAACAGCTCTTCTCTTGCCTGCAAACACTTCACTGGAATAACAGCAGCACCAAGCAGTGATTTTTATTGATTGGGTTTTTAATACCATTAGCTTCACACAAACCCAGGAAAAAGCCAGCACCTGTGATTTGATGCTGAAAAACCATCGAGGTGCTTTTATGCATATTTAAGAGCCTGCCTGGAAAGCCAAACTTGCTGTACACTGTGCTACTCCAGCTGCAGAGATACTCAACTTAGATTCCTTCATTGCACAAGAGGCAGGGCTGGCAAAGCACTCTCAGCAAAAGCTCTGGAACTTGCTTTCCACCTTGGTTTGAAATGGTTTGGATTTGGTTACCACCCAGGCCTGATACCCTAGACATCTGCTCACAAAGACTTTTGGAGAGCACTGAAGTTCTGCTTTCCAGGACAGTAAAGAAGTAGAAAGGGATTTTTTTCCTTGCTGGCTGCCAAAGTGCCTTCTTAAAACTGCTGCTGTGCTGCTGCCAGGTTTTTGCTGTGCTAGCAATTGCCTTAAGGTAGCAAAGTTTTATATGGGTATTCTTTAACACCTAACATATACAGGCAAAAGCAAGGTCAGCCTCTTATTCAAACACATCTCTCAACCCAGGTAAGTTGTAACAGGCACCCCTGGTACAGAAATTTCACCCACAGGCTGCCTATGGAAACTTCTGGAGATCCCTTATACCAGTAGGGCAGAAGGGGCATTAGAATAAAAACTCAACTCTTACCTCTTTCACATTTGTTAACTCCAACAGCTCTCCAAAGACATACACCCCAGGAGCTTCCAGCACTTGATTTATAAGAGCAGTCAGAGCTGAGCCACTTGTTCCTTTGGCTAGTAAAATGAACTGCTCTAGAAGATTGCAGGATGGCTTCTGTTCTCCTGCCATTCTAGGTTTTCAATCTGTCAGTAAAAGAACATAATATTAACACATCCTTTCTCCTCTGCTGAGTTCTGCCTGGCAGGGGACCAGAAGGTGCTCAGCATAGCAACATTTCAGCTGCCAGCCTCTTCTTCAGCACTCAGGGGGCAGGCCAAAAACCCAGCAGGTTCAACTGCTGATTTAGCTGGGGAGCAAGGATGACTCCTACAATTTCTAAGCAACATTTCTGTCTGAGCAGTTCCCTAAAAGGATCTGCTCTTGCAGATCCCTTCTTAGAAGACAGGAGTTTAGATTTCATGCTGTTTTCAGACTTTTCCTTCTAGTGATGCTGCCAAATAATGCCAATTGTAAAGATGCTTGTTGATACACTTGATTGACTTCCTCCTTCCTCATTACACAGCTCCAAACCAGCAAACATAATTCCCCATGAAGGACTGATGCACACTGTATGCCCAACATCCCACCTTTTCCCTTGACTCTGGCTATTGATACAGAGTGTTTCCATAATTCCCATTGCTTCCCTCAGCCCAAAAGGCAAAAGGAACTGGGGCCTGTAAGCAGCTCCACTGTGCAGTTCAAGTGTTGGGGGTTAGCTGGGAAGCTTAAGTGATAAAAATACCCTTTGTACAAAGGCTCTACTCAAGTCCCTGAGAAGAGAGGTCTTTGTCTTCAGCTGCTGCCTGACATTTCTGGTGTGCATGTTGTCTCCCGGCACCAACATGCTGCTTTTGAAATGTAAACCACTATTTATTAACAAGTTCCACAAAATGAGCTGTTTGTTTACAAACAACGAGGACAAAACTTCCCAAGCATGTGATTCAGAAACCAAAGAAAGAACTTGGCAGATAAGGGAGGGTTTGTGCTATGTTTGTACGGGATAATTATCAAGCAGAGGGTATAACCTTGATGAAAACCAAACACAGAGAACCTGTTTGGTTCTGTGTGACCCACAGGGGCTGGGCCCACATCCACCCTTGTGGGGGCAGCACCGTCACACAGGGGCTTTGCTGTTTCACCAGGCCTAACCAAATTAAGGCTTGTGAAGGCACCACAGCTTCCTGTATTAGTCAACTTCTAAAAATACACTTTACTTTGTTCTATTACACCTGCAAGTACAAACGGTCTCAGCTTTAGAGGGCAACCTTTAGCACTCTCCACACTGAGATATCTGAGCCCCCGGAGTCTCTGGGGTTCTTCCCACCGGAGGCACACGTGCAGCCTGGCTGAGCAGCACCTCAGCTCTGAGAATCCCTGCACTACACAAGGCAGTGTGCCTGCCTAACACACCAGTGCGCTCCCTCTGCCCACAGAGAGGACAATTTCCTCACGAGAGAATACGGACTGACTGTGCTGGGAATGAGACTCACATTTCACAGTTCTATTGTCCTCCCTCACAGGTAATCAAACCACACGCTGGCGTATGAGGTTACAAAGGACTGGCTGGCTGTAGCCGTGCCCTGCTGGGAAAGAGATGCCAATTCTCTGCCCCTTCCCAAGTAAATGTTCGGACAACCGCGGTGCTATTGCAACCTGTGTGCACACCCGTGTCACAGGGAATACCTCGCTGCTTCCACAACCGACTTACCCCGGTGAGAAGTGCTGAAATACAGCCGACACTCCAACGTAGCTTGTCCAAAGGCTACAACAACCCAAGCAGAAGGACAAGCTGGGCTTCTTTCGCGGTCAGGCCTTTCTAAGGTAGCTCAGGGAGTTTGAGGGCGGGAAGCGGCCCGCAGACCCGGCAGCAGGAAGGCGGGGGTTTCCCGGCCCTGCCGTTCTCCCCAGACCCCTGGCAGAGCCCTCGGGCCCCACCGAGCCCTGCCGCAGGGTCGGACCCACTGAGGATCCCCCACCGCCGCCCCTGTTCCCGGGAGGCTTCTCCCAGCCCCGGCATTACCTCTCCGCTCCCGGCCTCCCGTCCCGCCGCTCCCGGCGCCGAACCCGCCGCGCCTCAAGCCGCCATGATGGCGGCACCGGTGTCCGCGCGCGGCTCCTTCCCCCCGGAACGCGGGGCCGCGCCGAACGTTCCGGCCGATGCCCGGGGGCCGCGAGGAGCGGGAGCCGCGGCCCGGCATCCCCGGGATAGCGGGATGGGAACGGCGGGCTGTGCTGGCACCTGCAGAGCCACGGCCCAGCAGCCCGTGCAGCAAACTTCACTCGCTTGTGCTGGAACAGTTACTCGGGACTCAGCGGAGCAGCTCTTCTAGCATAAGCAAGTAAAATTGCTGCCTCTCTCTTAGGGGGTACCCTTGTGGCAGCATCACTGCGGTTTGCACCCCAACATAAGCCGTGCAAAGGGCTGCTGTTGTAAGGACACTTCGTTATGGGAAGTGGGGCCAGTATTAGATTGAATGGTTGCACAGAGCACTGGAACAGACTCCCCAGGGAAGTGATGACAGCCCAAATAGCTCAAGGAGTGCTTGGAAACACTCTCAGGCACACAGTGGGATTCCTGGGGCTGTCCTGTGCAAGGACAGGAGTTAGGCTCCATGACCCTTGTGAGTCCCTTCCCACTCAGGATATTCTATGATTCTACCAGCTGAGCCTCTTGGGCCAGACCTCCAGGGAAATAGCAAGAGATGGAGTGAAGATAGAACTGATTTTGAACTCCATACAAACGGTCCATACAAACGATAAACCAAAGGGCAGAGCTCTGGCTGTGACATGGGGGAGCAGGGAGGGCACTGGAAGGGTTAAACCCTCCCCAGGGCATAGATCAGGAGCAAAAAGAAGCTTGAAAGGGTATCAGAATGAGGGTGGAAACAAGAGGGAACTGGGGGTTGTACAAGAGGGAACTGGGGGTTGTCAACCTCCCCAAGGTTTGCAGGCTCATCCACGCCATGTTGTGAATTAAATGTGCCTCTGTTAAAAATCCTTCAGCTGAGAGCAAAGTGCTTCTGGCTTTCAGTCAGCAAGTCCCTGAAGATCAAATCATGGACCAGCATGGTCAGGAGGGGGGATCTTTCAAGGAATGAACATCAGAAACTATTAGGGAAACTGATGGGGCTTAGCCAGTGTCTCAGAGCCATCTACAGCATGTCCCTAAGGTGCCATCATCCATCAGAGAGGGGGTGTCAGACAAGTGCAGAGATGCAGGTGTTGGAATGCTGTTGTGACACTCTGGGCTTCAAAGCAAATTGGATGTAAAAAACCAGGCCCTGCGCAACAAGGGAACTCAGCCAGGGCTATAACAAGCCAGGCAGTAATTTACTTAAGCCACACTTAGCCCTCATCTGCACAGGGAGGAAGAATTACCTCTTTAATCACATCCTAACCAGGCCCTTCCCCAGGGTTCCTGTCATCCTGCAGACATGCTGGAACAGTTGCCTTGGACAAGCAGCGTGGCCTCCTTTTTCCCAACACTTGCTAAAGCTCGAATTCCAGGCTGAAATAGAAATGGAAATATATGATTGTGAGCTATTTTCCACAGATTCTGCAGCCTTTTGCTAGAGCCTGTGGTAAAAAATCATCTGTTAGCCCCATGTAGGTCAGCCAGGAGTCCCTGTCCTGATTATTCCCAACTGCAGCCAGCCAGCCTGGCTGACTGACCTGGACTTCGGAGGACAGCATCAGCTAAGCTCAGGTTTTGGGATGGATTTTTGTTTTTAAGAGGAAAAATATGTGTATGTCCAGCTGTCTCATTCCCTTTTAAACAGCTATTGCAACCTCTTGCTCCACCCACGCAGCTCTCTGTGTGCCAGGAGATGTTAATCCATTTTATCTTTTAATGTTGGCATTATCTCTTGACTCACCCCACCTCTTCCCCTTGTGATTCCGCAGTCCAGGTCCCTTTTAGGCAGCACATAATTCACCTTATTTCCCTGCACTGCCACAGTAATGTCCCCAAGCAGTGGGGTCCTGGACCCCCAGACTTTGAGGACACCTGACCTCACCAAGGAGAGGGCCAACACTGAAAACACTTCTGTGTTTCTTGTACTTTTCCTTATATTTTGTTACTCACCTGTGTGTGCACATCCATTCATCCTCATTCCCTGCAGCAGCACACACCTCCAGAGCATGGTGGAGGGCAGCTCCCAGGCCCTACTGAAAAGTTTCTAAACTCTCTGTATTTCCCAGGATCCAGGGACTAAGCTGCTTGCTGGACTCTCATCTCAGCCAGGCAAGGAGTGATGTCTGGGTGGTTGTAGATGTGAAGTCTACAACCTCTTCCATCAAGCATGGGGTGGGATGAAGCCCTGGTTTACTAAACTACCTCCCAGTTATGCTGCTCTGCAGAAACACCAGCTCCTTTACCTGCACCTTGAGAACAGCTGCTGGAGAAGCAGAAAACAGGCTGGAGGCATCTTCTCACCTGCAGTGGTAGCTCAGAAGCTGCCACACCTGCCAGAGACGTGAAGGAAAAGTTTTCAGTTCCAAACGGCACCAAAGGATAGAGGGTGCCAAGAGCTGCAGCAATTTTCTTGCAAGGAGATTTTTAAGACAATGTGCTCGAGTGCTGTTTGTGTAAATGCAGCCCGAGGGCTGTGAGAGACCCCAGGGTTTTTGTCACTCTGAGCTGTGCTGTCACGTGTTCCACGGCTGCTTGGCCCTGCACCAGTCACAGGAGCTTCACACTTCAGCTATGAGCTCTTCTGTGCTTTTCAGATCATGAATGAGAGGCCTGTGCCTCCCAGCACAGCAAGGCAACTTTGGGAATTCTGAGACTTGGCCAGGAAACGCAAAGGCTCCAACTCAAAACTCCACAGACATCCCTACCCTGGTGCTAGAGAAGCCCCTCAAAGCTGCAAGAGTTCCTTTCTATGAGATCCATTTGGTCACTGGCTCCTTCATCTCTGAGGAGCTTGAATGGAGACAGGACAGAGTTTCTTACACCTTCTGTAAACCAGTATGTCCTACTTCCACCTGGCAGGCTCATTTCCTACATACAGCCATTTGTTTCTGCCTTTTCCAGGTCTGCTTTTGTCTTGCTTGCCTTTTCTCCTCATCAGTCGTTTCTCCTCAGTGATCTTTAGTCCCTCCTCTTCAGACAGCATGCAATTCCACAGCCTAGCTAAAATCCAGGATGGACTCTTCACAAAATATAGGTATATATATATTTGCCCAGCTCACCCCTGGCACTCTGCCCAGACTCAAAATGACCCCTTCATACACTTAAACTGATGGTGGGAAATTGAGCATGGATCGCATACATCAGGAAAATAAATGCTGCCTATTTTTATTATTAAGATCTCTTGTCAGTGATACTGGCAGTGGCCTTGCCCTTCTGCATTAAATGCAGCCTTTATTAACACTCACATTCTCCACTTTAGTACAGTGGGTGATTTGGAGGCAAGTGGAGCCATGAGTGAGTGTATTGATGGCACTCTGACTGTTCACTGGTCCTCATTTGAGGACTGGGTTACAAGTGCTGGCTTTATTTTTACCATGACTTAATGCTTTTATCAGTTGCACTCAGATGGTTAAGAGAGGGGTTAATTTGCTCATGTTAAAGAGCAGCCTGGCTCGTGGGATGTGCTAACAAACCTGAGACTTTTCCCCCCACAATCAACTCTGCTACACAAACATGAAGATAATTAGAGGGCTAGAGCACCTCTCTGATGAAAGGCTGGAAGAATTTGCATTGTTCAGCCTGGAGAAGGTTCCAGGGTGACATTATTCAGGCCTTTCTGTACCTGAAGGGGTCCTACAAGAAAGATGGAGAGGGACGTTTTACAAGGCAATAGAGTTCTAGTGACAGAACAAGGGGCATGGCTTCAAAATGACAGAAGGCAGATTTAGATTAGATATAATGATGAAATTATTTCCTGTGAGGGTGCTGAGGCACTGACACAGGTTGCCTGGCAAAGCTGTGGATGCCCCATCCCTGGATGTGGTCAAGGCCACCTGGATGGTCTTTAAGTCCCTTTCAACTCAAGCTCATCTGTGATTCAAATTTCTGAAGCACAAAGAAGGCTGCCTTTGTTCCAGGGGGTAGCACACTATTTATCTTAAACCTTCTCCACAGTGCTGCTCCTGTTGGCTCCGGCCTCGGGACTCGCACAGTCACAGAACTGCAAGGCTCGGGAGGGACCTCTGGCGACCATCCAGCCCAACCCCCTGCCAAGGCAGGGTCACCTGGAGCAGGTGACACGGAACTCGTCCAGGTGGGGTCGGAAGGTCTCCAGCAGAAGCTGCTCCAGGTCGGAGCACCCGGGTCCCCAGCACCAGCCGAGTTCAAGGGGGGAGCTCCGCCGAGCAGCCCCAAAGACGAAACCTCGGGACCCCCACTGCCTGGGGAGAAGCGCCAGCCAAGCTCCAGCGCCTCGGGGCCGTTGGGCCGCCGCTGACTAGGCCCGGGGCGGCTTCTCACCCCCTCGGCTGCTCCCCGCTGAGGCCTCCGGGGCCCGGGGACCGCCCGCTCCCCCTGCCCGGTCATCCTGCGGCGCCTCCATCGCGGCCACGTCAGGCCCAAGCGAAGTGTCTCGGCGACCGCTGCGCACCCACCCTTGAATGAGGGAGAGAGCTGTCTGATTGGTCAGTGGTGCTGTCATTCTTGCGGCAGAAGGCGGGGCGAAGAGGGGACGGCAGCGGCTGATTGGTCGGCGGGGCGGCGGGCGGCCGCTGGCGGCCGCTGGGGTTGGTTGCGCCGGGCAGTGGCGGGTGCGCGGGAGGGAGGGGCGGGGGGTCCTGAGGCTCCGCTGTCACCGCCGCGCTCCCGCCAGGCCCGGCCCAGCCCCGTCCGCCCGCCCGCGGCGCGGCAGGACCATGTCGGCCACGGACGAGCGGGCCAAGGAGATCCTCCGCGGCTTCAAGCTGTATCCTCCGTGCGGGGGCCGTGAGGCGGCGCGGGGGGCGCGGGGATTGCCGCCCCGCTGTGGCGAGGCCCCTGGGGCGGGAGGGGGGTTGCCATGGCAACGCGGTTCTCAATGGCGTCCGCACTC